TCACTCTGTCACCCAGGCTGGAGTGCAACAGCACGATCTCGGCTCACTGCAACCTCCACTTCCCAGGTTCAGGTGATTCTCCCACCTTAGCCTCCGGAGTAGCTGGGACTAAAGGTGCGCGCCAGCACATCCGGCTAATTTTTGTATTTTTAGTAGAGACAGGGTTTCACTATGTTGGCCAGGCTGGTCTTGAACTCCTGACCTTGTGATTCACCCGCCTCGGCCTCCCAAAGTGTTGGGATTACAGGTGTGAGCCACCGTGCCCAGCTTAACGTGAAATTCTTCATGGTGTTCACGTCTGTAACAGAGGAAGGGGATGCAGTTGGGAAGAAGCATATAGGGCTTCGTAGGTAGTGAGATTTTTCTTTTCTTTCTTATTTTATGTTTTTTGGAGACTGAGTCTCGCTCTGTTGCCCAGGCTGGAGTGCGGTGGCATGTTCTTGACACACTGCAACCTCCGCCTTGGGATTGAAGCGATTCTCCTGCCTCAGCCTCCTGAGTAGCTGGGATTACAGGCGCCCACCACCAAGCACAGCTAATTTTTATATTTTTAGTAGAGACGGGGTTTCACCATGTTGGCCAGGCTGGTCTCAAACTCCTGGGCTCAAGTGATCCACCTGCTTTGGCAACCCAAAGTGGTGGGATTACAGGTGTGAGCCACGGCACCTGGCCACTATTGGTGATTTTCTATTTCTAAAAGTGAGCAATGGGTACAGGGTTCTCTTATTATTATTCTTAACTTGTTCTTATATGCCACATACATTCTTTTCTATGTCAGATATATTTCACAATTAAAACTTTAAAAAGCATGCCAGGCACCATGGCTCACAACTGTAACCCCAGCTACTTGGGAGGCTGAAGCAGGAGGAGCTCTTCAGCTCAGGAATTCAAGATCAGCTTGGGCAATGCAGTGAGTCCCCACCTTAAAAAAAAATAAAGGCAACCCCCCCCCCCAAACTGTAAACAGTAAACTGAATGCAAATAAATGTATGACTTTATAGCTATTTCTGCTAAACTGAACTTTACTGGTTTTGATTTGCCAGTTCAGTTAGCCAGGATGATTCTGAAGCTTGCTTCCAGCCTCGATTTCATCAGTAACTTCCTTTGATACTCTGCACTATCCACAAATTGTATAGATTAATGTACTATTTTTTTCATGTATATTACTGAAAAAATTGTTGTTATTAAGAGTTTAAAAAAAACAAAGTAAGGCTGGGCACGGTGGCTCACACCTATAATCCCAGTACTTGGGAGGCCTAGGGAGGCAGAGCACCTGAGCCTGAGCTCAGGAGTTTGAGACCAGCCTGGGCAACATGGTGAGACTTCATCTGTACCAAAAATACAAAAAATTAGCCAGGTGTGGCGGTGCGTGCCTGTGGTCTCAGCTACTGAGAGGGCTGAGGTGGGAGGATCGCTTGACCTTGGGAGGCAGAGGTTGCACCAAGATCGTGCCATTGCACTCCAGCCCGGGTGACAGTGAGATCCCTGTCTCAGAAAAAAATAAACAAAGTAGCTCAATATTTAAGAACATAGATTCATAATGCCTTAATTTTGAGTATGCCACTTACACTAACTATGCAATTTATACAGTCAGTTATCCTCTATGTGACCCAGTTTCCTCATCTATAAAATGGGTGTAAGAATATTACTCACCTCACAGATTTATTGGGAGGATTAACTTTGTTTCAATATTTAAAGTGCTTAGTGATTGGAACATAATAAATGTTACCTAATTTTTGCCTAGGATATTTCCTCATCTATAAAATGTGACACTTTAAAGGAAATTGTCACATTGGTCCTTTCTAGTAATCAAATTTTTGATTCTGTGAAGATATTCTTAATAATTATTGGAAAAGAAAAAAGTATTCTTTTTGAAATCAGATTTAAATAATGTGTCAACATCATTTGGCTTTCAAAAAAATGGAAGTAGAATCTATGTATAGAAAAGTGCACGAATTGAAAATAAACAGATTATATATCCAAACCCAGATTTCACAGCCACTCATGTCAAGAAACTGAATATTACTAGCACCAAAAATGCTCCCCTCATTACCTGTTTCTATATACTCCCCTGCCATAATTTTACCTGTTTTTGATATAAATGGAGCAGAATATGCATTTTTATTGTGCAATATGGTTCTTTTGCACAATATTAAGGTGTAAGGTATACCCACACTGCTGTTTTTCAGCAATAGCTCATTTATATTAGAGTATTTCATTAAATGAATAATGGAATTTAACTCTATTTATATATTATACTATTGAAGAGCATTTTGAGTTCTTTATATCTTCTGGATATAAGCCCTTTGTCAGTAATATGCATTACAAATATTCTCCCACTCTGTGGTTTGCCTTTTCAATCTGGTAATGGTTTTTTGGATGAAAATAGTCTCTCATTTTAAGAAAAATGAGCAGTGAAAGTATTTGATGAGGGAAGAGAAGTGTGGAAATTAGATGTTTGGGAAGGATGTTTGAAATAATTATTTCAAAGGAAGGACAGTGAATTTACGAGAGAAACAGTAGGAATACTCAGTAATGTTGCTCATCAGAAAATGTGGATCATAAATCTACAGTATAGCCAATATGCCTGGCACATTGGTATGAATTTTCTCTGCTACTTAGAAGGAGGCAGAGAAAAAGTAAATAATTTTTTCCCCTGGGTGGGGGAGGGTTGTTTGATTCCTGTGACAAAAAAGACCAAGAGGCAAAGAGCTTAGGATATTGGTAAAAGAACTATTGAAATGATGAACCTGGCCAGGCGCAGCGGCTCATGCCTATAATCCTAGCACTTTGGGAGACCGAGTGGGAAGATGGCTTGAGCCCAGGAGTTCAAGACCAGCCTGGGTATCATAGGCAGACCCTGTCTCTATATAAAAAAATTAGTTGGGCATGGGGGTGTGTACCTGTAGTGCCTGAAAGGTTGAGGTGGGAGCACTGCTTGAGCCCAGGAGTCCCAGGCTGCACTGAGCCATGATCATGCCACTGTGCCCCAGCCTGGGGAACAAAGTGAGACCCCCATCTCAAAAAAAGAAAAAAATAATAAAAAGAAAAAGAAATGGACCATTAAATTGAAGCTGGGTAAGGAATAGAAAATAAAGAGCTGATGAATTGGAAAGAAAGAGATGATGAATTGGAATGAGAAAGTAGAGAAAATACTGGACTGAAGAAGCCCAGTAGGGTAGAAGAATGGGAGGAGTAAGAGTAGGGAAAAGAGAGGAGAATGTGCTTAAGTAGAGGAGTGAGTGAGTTTGCTTACTATCTGGGTAACAGGATCCATACCCCAAACCTCAGCATCATGCAATATCCCCATATAACAAACATGCACATGTACCCTCTGTATCTAAAATAAAAGCTGAAATAAAAAAAGAGAAGTTATGAATGTTGACGAAGTCCAGAATATAGCAAAGGGAATGGGTACTTGAGGCAGAATTGTATAGAAAGTTATGAGAGATGAAAAAGGAGTGAGGAAGATCAGGATGTTTGCTCATCCATATAAAAGCTGAACTATCCAGTATGATGGCAAAGACTTTGTATGGAAATGAAGACTGTGAACCAAATATCGAAGCCATCGTTTAGGGGGGAAATAACTTGAGACATGAGGAAGTGGTATAGTTGAATGGCTTGGATCTAATTGGAAGAGGTTTTCCTAGAGAGTTATGCTAGAGTGTTCTGGAAATGCTAATTGAGAACAAGATGCTCTCTACAACTGTCAACTCTGGATGCATAAGGGTATAAAAATAAAATGAACTGGCAAATAAAAGTGTAGGAAAAGAAATCCCACAAATGCTCACTGTACTATAATCCAGTATTAACAAAGAGTTCACATGAAGCATTTTATATTTAAACAGTTTTGGGAAAAAAGCTTAAATGACTGAACATACAAAATATTCAGTATTGTTAATATTGTTATATTTTTGAAGTATAATCACTGTATTAATATGTATAGATATTTACAACAGTGTGAATATTTAAGAACATTTAAGAATGTTAAAATTCATTATATTTTCCAATGTCCCTTATATGAAGGTCCGAGAGAGAAGTACCTCCTTTGATTAAATGTCAGGAAAATATTGGTTTCTCCAGATAAAATGTATCCCATTCCTTTATCAGAGAATCAGATAATTTTAATATGCTACCCTTTTGTACATATATTGGGAAACTGTAAGTTTCCTAATATTTTTCTTAATTAGCAGAGTGCGATACATGATATTTGCTTAATAACTATATTTACTATATGGTTTTAGTACAAAAAGCACAGGACTTGGAACCACAGAGATCTGGATCAAAATACCAATTCTGCTATTTACTAGCTCTTGACCTTGGATAATTCTGCTTACTTCTTTGCAAAACAGTGTCCTAAAAATATTTATTTCTCAGTATTATTAGAAGGTTTAAATCAGATAATAAGTATAAAACACTTAGTACTGTGACTGGTACAAGGTAGAAACTCAAAAAGGGTAACCATCATTATTTATTTTAGAATATTTAATCTGTATGATACCTTCATTTTTTGAAGTGTTGTGAAAACTAAAGTTACATTTTGAAATGACGGGATTAAAAAAATCGTAATTTTAGTGACAGAAACAGTTTTTTAAAATCTAGATTTTTGTAGACAAGTAATGAAGATTATTAGATTATAGTGTCTGCATTTAGCTTCTCTTCCGCTAATGTGGCTTGTATCCATTCAATTCAAGTAGAGTCTGGGTGATTACTAAGTGCCAGACACTTGTTAGCATCTGGAGATACTGTGATGAATTACACAAATGTCCCTTGTCCTTAAAAACTCATGGTTTAATTGAAGATGACTTTGGATATTAAATTTTAAACTCTCATTATATATCAATATTTATTCATACCTTTGGAAAAACAAGAGTTGTTTTTCTGATTGCCTCCAGACTCCAGTCCTATTTCTCAATAGGCAACTGTTTCCTATTGGCAGGAAAATGTATTGCTTTCTAGTTTATTCCCTCATAGGAGGAAAGAAGTTTTATGAGAGTCAACTAGCTAGTAAGGGCAATGGCATTCTATAGAGATTAATTTTCAAAAATATTTCAAGGCAATGATATCATTTTTTTGCTCTCACAAAAACCAATAGAGCAGATAAAAGCGGAGCTACCACACTTTGGGAAAGGGAATGGGAGAATCAGGTATATCTAATTAATATTAGTTTATAGCAACTCAATTTAACAAATATTTTAAAGAAAAATGAATATAATTACATGTATTCACTTGTTTATAATAATTTAAACAATATTTTTCACTGTGCTTTCTTTGATGGGAAATTTGACTACAATAGTAATGACAGAATAATATGGGACAAGAATCAGATCCTATTCCTTGTCCTTCCTCTTAAACTAATAGGAAAAGTCATGGAAAAAAATGGAGGCTGGCAAAAGTTTCTAATTTCAGTTGAGCACAGGTTGGCTCATTCTCTTAAATAAAACTTCAGCTACTAATGTCACAATGTTTTTTTTTCTTTTTGAGATGGAGTCTGGCTCTGTCACCCAGGCTGGAGTGCAGTGGTGCACAGTCTCGGCTCACTGCAACCTCCGCCTCTTGGGCTCTAGGTTCAAACGATTCTCCTGCCTCCTCCCATGCAACTGGGATTATAGGCATGCGCCACCATGCCCAGCTAATTTTTGTATTTTTGTAGAGACAGGGTTTCGCCATGTTGGCCAGGCTGGTCTCAAACTTCCAATCTCAAGTAAATTCGCAAACCTTGGCCTCCCAAAGTGCTGGGATTACAGACATGAGCCACCGTGCCTGGCCAAAAATCACAATATTACAGGAGGTAAGTTACTACTTTTTTTTTTTTTTTTGGAGACAGAGTCTTGCTCTGTCATCAGGCTGGAGTGCAAGTGATGCGATCTCGGCTCACTGCAACCTCTGCCTCCCAGGTTCAAGCAATTCTCCTTCCTTTGCCTCCCAAGTAGCTGGGACTATAGGCATGTGCCACCATGCCGGACTAACTTTTGTATTAGTAGAGATGGGATTTTGCTATGTTGGCCAGGCTGGTCTTGAACTCCTGGCCTTAAGTGATCCACCCACCTGGGCCTCCCAAAGTGCTGGGATTACAGGTGTAAGCCACTGTGCTCGGCCTGGAGGTAAGTTATTTCTATACAGCTATTGTTTAATACTAATATTTACGTAGTATGTATGTCCATACATAAATAGGAACAATTTCACATGACTTTAACAAAGGTGTACATTGTATCTATAAAAAGCTATAAATTTATGCTTACCTGTAGCCCTCTTATTTTGATGCAGGACATTATGCCCTCTTTTCCACAAGGGAACCGATTCTTCTTCAGCAGTTCTTGGAGTCACAGATGGATAACTTTCTTCACAAACAGGACTTCTTTGGGTGCAATATAATGTCCCATCTTGCTGGGCAACTGCTTGAGTGCCATTTGAATGATTTATTTTTGCAAAAGTTTGGCAGTCTGAAGAACAATATGATGGCAGTGATGGTATCACAGTGACTAGATCAGAACAAGCATTTGACAGTGGAGAACTACTTTCCCGATTCCACTGATTCAAATTGTGTTCTGTTGGACGCACATGTTTTGAATTAAAACCGTTATGTGTAATAATGTTTTGAGGCTTTTCAGGAGTTACTGATTGACACTGAGACACCTGTATATTTTTACCACTTCTAATATTTGATGTAGATTGGGGAGGAGGACGAGGTATAATTAATTTTCCCTGAGCTTGTGTAAATATGTTGACTTTGCTTGCAGATTGTGGTTCAATGACAGTGCCTTTTCTGTTTGTACATATAAAGCCTGATTGGACTTTTGCAGATCCTGGTTTTCTAATTATTTTTGCTCCACCTCTTTGTGGCTTACCTTGCTTAGTTTTAGAATCATCATGTACAGGGATTTTACTTTCCTCTTTTTTTGAGGCTGGCCAGGCATGTTTAGCAAAATTATAACCTGAAGGTATAAAACAGTTCAAAGGCGTATGGTCTGCTCCAGTCGTAACATTTTCAGAGATAGAATCCTCCCTGGACTTCTTTCTAGCAGCAGAATTTACAGCACAAGCAGAAACACTAATTATGTTGCTTCCAGCACCACTTTGAATGCAGAATTTTTGAGAATGCTGTTGAGTTATTCCTGTTTTATTCTTCAGTGAATGACTGTCTTCAGCATTGTTTTCTATACTGCTAGTTTCATCAAACCACCTCAGTTTTTTAATAGTCTTTGGAATTTCTGCACCTTTTTCCCTTTCCTTTGTTAATTCAATACTATCTTTGATAGCTGCTGCTTTTTGATTTCCAAACTTAAAGCTCTGATTTATGATTAATGCCTTAAGATAACCATGTTCATATTTAGATTCTTTCTTTAAAATACTTTTAAGAAACCTCACACCATTTCTCTCATGGATGTTGTATTTCATTTTCTTGTGCTGGCCAACAAAGTCATAATTAGAAGTTACATTAGACAGGGATGATGTTTCAGCGAATTTTTGTTTTTCATCTTTTGAATCCGGATTGTGAGGTATATAGGCATCTTGAAAACTGTCTGAAAATAAAGGCAACTCTCCCTTATTGCAATTAAAATATTTTATCTTTTCTTCTTCACCATCTTTCAATTCATCTAACTTATCAGAACACTGCACTGCATCAATTTCTTTTATGTGTATACTGTTCTTTGCTGAAGGTCTAGCTGACTGTTTATTAGATGGCAAAACTAAAGGCGTTGCCACTGGTACACATGAAGTAGGAATTGAAGTAGTTCCATTTTCTTGATTTAATTCAGAATATTTATCTTGGTCTGGAAATGTAGCCACTTCCTGGGTTGGAGAATCTGAAGTGCTTTGGGATTTGCTAAATTTAAATGTTGGGCTCTCAGTGACTAAGGGCCTCTCTCTTTTGAATGCTCCAGAAGTGGAGTCAGTTATCCTTATAGTGCTAGTTTCAGAGGTCTTTTCACATTTTTTATCTAGTACAAATATAGGTGGGCTAGGTACAAAGGGTACTGAATTATTAGCAGTATTTTTGGCTCTTTCCACTGTTCCATTCAAAGAAGACGGATTTTGTTCTTTACTATTAAAATATTCCCATGAAGGTAGAACATTAGATTTACTTAAAATATCTGAGAAAGGTGTGACATCCTGAGTATTTGAAGCATCTACATTTGTAAGCCAATTATTTATATGTTGAGTTTTAGAGAATGCCAGTTTATCTTCATCAAAGCAGTTGAGTTTAGTTGATTGCATATTTGCTGGTTTGAGGGAAATGGTATTCCACTGGATGGATGTGGAATGCTCCTTATTAAGTGTTAAATATATTTCTTCATGCTCTGTAGGCTCAAGACTGTCTATACTTGAGAGGGTTTCAGAATTGGTTATTTGATTAACTTCATCACAAAATTTCTGGAAAAAAAAGAACACTGTTGTATAGCTTATAAACTTTTAAATGCCAAGATTAATGATTCAACATACCATTGTTACTGAGCCTAAATCTCCTTGCATGTAGAGTAATATGACTATAAATATCGTGGGTATATAAATAATTCTTATCGCTGCAGCAATCCTCAAGGTAAAAAATAGGGAGGTAACAAAGACTTATAATATAGTATGCTTGCTTTGATTTCAACTCCTAAAGTAATACCTGCTTATTCTAGCCACAGTTATAACTTAGAAAATATTTTTGTTACTGCTATTCCATTTAAAGTATGAAGTTTCTTGAAGGCTTAGTAACAGCAAGTGAGATTCTGAAAAATAATTATTTACAAATTGCATTTTTTCCTAAAACATTCACTGGATTTGAATGAGGCTCCTAAAAGCTCTGCTATCCTAATGTGAGCCTCCTGTTAGTAGGGGCTACATCTTTTTACAAAACTTAATTTTGTGGATTGTAGTAAGGCTTTTAACTCTGGCTACATGTTAAAATCACATAAAGAACTGTGTAAAATATCTATACCTGGGTCCTGCTGATTTAACACTTGGATGGGGTCCATATATTGGTATAATTTAAATTCCCCAGGTAATTTTCATATGGGTTTAGACTCAAAAACTATTGACTTTAATGACTCCTTTTGGAGGTTTAGCATAGCAGTAATTTCCATAAATTCCATAGACATTTTCATCACTATTTCACTGAAATTTACATGAAATTTATCAGTCTTTAATAAAATTTCAAAATTACTTCAATGTATGGTAAATGTTTAAAAATATTTCTATTTTCTCACACATATCTAGAATGCTTTAATCTATATCACATACACAGAAATAAATTTTAAGAAGACATTAAATTGTATATCTAGTCAAAATGCTGAATGGAGAGAAAATTGATATCCCTTAAGATTTATTGTACATTTTAGATTTATCTAAAATATGAAAATTTTAAAAATTTACATACTATGGTATCAGACGAAATTACATTCTTTTTTTAGCCCAGTAAGTAAACTAAGAACTAAAGTAAACAAATTACAGAATACAAATATTTTAATTTACATAGTTAGTTCTTATTGATTTAGTATTATGGAGTAAGTTTTAAAAATTATTCATGAGAGTTTTATAGTTTTAGCATTTAGTCCCTATTTATCACATCCTTTGGCACACTTCTTAAAGTGATAGTCACTCAGCCAAACAGGGAATAAAACAAAGCACAGCTACTTCAATGCCTGTTCTTGGAACTAAGTTGTTTTAACTGATAATGATGATGAAATCAGGCCTGGAAGGCATCCTTTGAGGTTACATCTAGAGAGACACAGAAATTTGCATTAGAAGATCCTTCTAGATATAAGTATGACATCCATGGCTCTAAGATTTCCGTTTGCATAGGTCTGTAATTGCTTCATCTCCCAAATCACCTCAAAAGAAGTTTGGCAATTTCTGATTTCATAAACAATACTCTTTTTTTTTTCAGATTTTTTTCCACCATTAAATAATGAAACATGATCAACTTCAAGTTTTGCTTATAAGTTACATGAGCGGTCCATCTTATCTTTATTGCCCTGCATGTAACATATCTTTTTTCCCTCTGGCTTTAATCTGATTTTTACGTGCCTTTCTGTGGTGTGTGTGTGTGCATACACTTATCCTTCTTGGAGTTTGTTGAGCTTCTTGAGTCTGTGGATTTACAATTTTCATCAAATTTGAAACATTTCCAGTGATGGTTTCTTTAAACATTTCCATTCCCACTTTGTGAAATTTTATTTAAATTTTAATTTTAATTAAATGTGTTGATGGCTTTATATGGACTCACAGATCACTAACAATCTGTTCATTTTTTTTCCAGCCTTTTTCTCCTAAAGCTTCAGCTTGGATAATTTCTATTGCTATGTTTTCAAGTCCACTAATCTTTTGTTCTGTAATTACTGCAATGTTAAGCCCATCCAGTCAATTTTTCATTTCTGACAGTATGTTTTTCATATCTAGAAGGTCTGTTTATTTCTTTTTTAAACTGTTTTTCTTATGTACATTTTTACTTTAATTCCTTGAAAATATTTATAAAAATACGTTAAAATTCCTTGTTGGTTAATTCCATCATCTCTGTTATTTCTGTCTGATTATACTGACTACTCTTCTCCTGGTTATGGGTCATATTTTCCTGATTCTTCATATGTCTAGTAAGTTTTGATTGAACACTGACATTGTGAGCATCATGTTATTGAATATTTAGATTTCATAGTCTTCTTTAAGAAAGTGTTGGCCAGGCATGGTGGTTCACACCTGTAATCCCAGCACTTTGGGAGGCCGAGGCGGTCGGATCATGGGGTCCAGAGATTGAGACCATCCTGGCCAACGTGGTGAAACCCTGTCTCTACTAAAAGTACAAAAATTAGCTGGGCGTGGTGGCAGGCACCTGTAGTCCCAGCTACTCGGGAGGCTGAGGCAGGAGAATTGCTTGAACCCAGGAGGCGGAGGCTGCAGTAAGCTGAGATTGCACCACTGCACTCCAGCCTGGTGACAGAGTGAGACTCCATCTCAAAAAAAAAAAAAAGAAAAAAAAAAGAAAAAAAAAAAGAAAAGAAAAACAGAAAAAAGTGTTAAGTTTTTTTGTTTAATAGGTAGCTTGGGTTACTAGTGGATCTTTTTAAGGCTTATTCAGGCAATATACCGACATAGAAAGCCTAGGTGATCATAAGGCTTACGTCATTTGTTTCCCCTTTTCAAGATCACATCCTGCACTGCCTCTGGCTCATGTCTAAAAGCAGTTGTTTTATATATTTTATTCATAATCATAGTTGTTTATGGTAGGAAGGCACATACGATAGCTGCCAGGAATCTTCTGTTTTGCCTTCTTAGCCTTGCCACTGTTGATTAATTGTTGGATGAATCAGGTCAATGTTATGAATTTAATCTTGATATTGGTTTATTAAAAATCTCATAATTGTGTATAATTATTAATGAAAAATAAAGTACATGGATGGACATGTAGGAAAATCAGCCGATATCTGTATTCAGTTGTGGAAAAAATAACAAAGTATATGCCCTTCTAGGGATAGATTACAAACATCATTTCTAGTGAATCCTGCCATATTTCCATTAAGAAACTAATACCTACATCTTTATACTTTTCTGGTTGCTTTTTATAATGCAATCTCTAACAATAATACATTACATTGTACTTTCAAAGGTAAGGAAAAAACTAAAAAATTATTTCTATAGTTTCTATGATGAATTTGTGCTGATTCCTCCACACTCTTTCAAGGCCACTCTTAGCTAGTAAGATATTTCTTTAGTGGAGAACATTGCAAAAGTGGAGCAAAATTAGTACAAGGAATTAAAATATTAACAACATTTTTATAGTTTCATACTTGCAAATTGCTTAGATGCTGATCTTCTAGGCGTTTCTGAGTTTCCTCCAGTTTAAGCTGGAACACATTTTTGCTAGTAGCCAAGGTGGCCCTCATGTTTTCATTCATTTCTTTATCACAATTGATTCTGGATAAGAGTTGTTTCTGATGTTTGTGATCATTTTTTGATAATGCTGAAGGCAAGGCAGAATCTATAGCTCTGTGAACCAGACACAGAAAGCGCTTAGTACATTTAAATAAAGTTAACTTCTTTCTATATGTATATACATGACACATTTGTGTAATATGTGTGTGTTTGTCCAGGTAACCACATATAAGGATATTGGAGAAATATATAGACATGTTAGAATGAGAATTTAAGGCAATCAATAGTAGAATAAAAATAGTTGTGAGACTAAAGTGCCAGTAAAGAACTCCACCTTCATATAGGAATGCCCAGTAATTAATGGCTTTGATTATTATAACCTATCCCTCTATCATCTGGGATAAGGGTAGAAGTAATTCCTGTGTAGAGTTAGTCCTCAGGTCTTTAAGAGCATTCCTATATGGATAATAATATACTGCATTACCCTTCTTTCTGAGTTGATGTCATGGCTGGTAGGTTAGGAAAAAACTGTAACCCTAATAGTGTTGGCTGAAGATTCAAGCAGATAGAAAATATAAAAATTGCTTGTCGGGGTCGGCAGGAATTTCCTCCCTATTTAACTAGCTTTGGGAACTTGGATCTTCCTCAATGGAGGCCAAGTACTCACTTATTTTCAGTTATTTCAGGAATATAAATAGGAATATAAGCATGGTTTTTATGCCACAGAAGTGTACCCTTAATATAGAGTCTCTCTTTACTATGCTAAGGGGTCATTCAAACATTTTCAGTGCATGACATCATTTTCTATTAGAATTTTGTATCTTCTGCAAAGCTATAGCATGTTACATTTCAGTACATATACAAAGTGAAAGCAAAGAACTAAAGATTTTTGGGGGAGGATAGGATGGGGATGAGACTACCATATAGCTGAATGCTGCTGCACTGGGGCTGGCAGTATGAATCCCAAGAGCATTTATTCCTAATTCAATTAAATTATTAAATTATTCCCACTTTAATGAGAATAAAAATGTTTTGGAAGGTGACGATGGTCACATGTGATATATACCGATTACCTATCTCCAATATCCATATATATCTTTATTTGGACAGACTGGAGTAGTCAAGGTCAAAGATGACTAGATTCTTAACTATCCCTTTGTGATCACACATTTAATCAGGGAGAGCAAGAAGGTATTTAATACAAGTTCCTGAACATTGAGAGTATGTTTCTGTCTCTTCCTTTTACACTTTCCTACTCTTACATAATCCTTCCCCTTCAGTCGCCCTTCCCAAACAAAATATTGCTATATCTACAAAATATCTAATAAACTCAATTTATTTACCTTTAAAGTTGTCGTCTGTCAACTTTTTCTTCTCTATTCCTTTCTTCTCTACTTCACTTTCTTCTCTTCTCTTCTCTACTTTCTTCCCCCAGTGAGGAGGATTGAAGGGGTGGATAGGAATAAAAGGAGATGGGGAGGTAGAAACAGAAGGAGAGTGAAGAATAGGGGGAAAGGAAGAGGAAATCATAAAGGAAGAAGAAACAGGAGAAATTGGAGAGGGAAAAGCTAAATAAGTTGGAGGCAAACCTGGAGAGGAAGATGAATGCAAAGGAGAGGAAAAAAGAGGGATAGATGAAGGAGGTAAGGATGGAGAAGTAGAAGAGGAAGTCGAAGAAGAGGAAAGAACAGATGAGGAGGAAGAAAACGGTATACAGGCTGAAGAAAAGGATGTGGAAGTAGAAGGAGATGAAGGCAAAGAAGAAGATGGAGAATGACAGGGAGATGCAAGGGAGAGAACTGAGGCTGGTAGATGATCTGCAAAGGCCTTGGGCTGATTTGACAATGCTGTGGCTTGTGGAACAGATCGCTGGACTGACTGAAAAGAATCCAAGCTAGCAGGATGTGCAGGCAACGGAGTGACATAAGAAAGAGTGGGGACTGGTGGATGAGGGGAGTGACTGGATAAACAGGAAGGCTTCAAAACAGGGAGAGGTTCCAAAGGGGTTGGGGAAACAACCAGTCGAGCTGGAAGGGAACGACGAACAAGGGCAGGCATTAGAGTGGCTGCGGTAGAACGCTGTGCTGGAAGGAAATGTTTGGGTCTGAAAGTTTTGTAAAATAACTTGTTCTGTGAGTCAGGGTCAGGAATGATTGGAAACCTTTGGGGCGGGTGGGGTAGATGGCCAGGTAGGCAAGAAGGAATTGGTGCTGGTAGATGAGGGAAACTGCTAGAAATGCTGGAAGTAGCCGGGGTTGGAGGACGAGGACGATATTTAATTGGGTAAGACAGTAATGGGACTGGTGCAAAGGTCTTTGGAAGAGTAGAGGGTACAGATGGATGGATAGGCAGTATATGGGGCTGGTGGGTAGGAGAAACAGTTGGGTAGCTAGGAAGAATTTGGAAGTGGTGGGACCGCAATGGGACCCGCGGAGGAGACAGTTGATCAGGTAAGTAGGGGTCAGGTGTGGAGACAGCTGGACAGGCAGGAATGGATCTGCACAGGTGGAAAAGCATTTGGACAGGCAAGTAGAGAGATAGCCTTATTAAGATTTTTTTTTTTTTTTGGTTTATTGGGCTGCCTCTAGGCTTTTGATTCATGTTTTTTTTTTTTTTTTGAATGGAGTTTTGCTTTTGTTGCCCAGGCTGGAGTGCAATGGCGCAATCTCAGCTCACCACAACCCCCATCAGTAGCTGGGACTATGGGTGCTGCCACCATGCCTCGCTAATTTTTTTTTTTTTTTTTTTGTCCATAGGGACTGAGTATTACTATGTTGCCCAGGCTGGTCTTGAACTCCTGGGTTCCAGTGATCCTCCCATCTTGGCCTCCCAGTGTTGGGATTACAGGCAGGAGCCCCATGCCTAGCCTGGTGATGTTTTCTTAAACTGGCTAAATTCATGAGTATTTATTATACTTTATAATTTACATATTATGTTTATTATTTTCCAGATATCGAATTTTTTTTTATATATATATTTTTTGAGACAGGGTCTGGCTGTGTTGTGCAAGCTGGGGTGCAGTGGCACCATTGTAGCTCGCTGCAGCATCCAAGTCCTGGGCTCAAGTGATCCTCCCACCTCAGCCTCCCAAAGTACTGGGATTACAGGCGTGTGCCACCGCGCCCCACCCAGAACTATTGTATTGTAAAAGACAATGAAAAGCATACAAAACAAAAATGATCAGTGAGAAGTTAAATGCCTGGGCAAAAAGGGGTTAGGTCTGCAGCGCTACACCAGATGTAACTTACAGCTGCAACTAGCCGAAACAGCATTACATTTGTTAACTCAATACTTGGTGGCCAGAAATTCATGTCAGGATAATTCATTTGAGCACAGACTAAAGGGTTTGGACTTGTACTTATAGTCCAAGTTTCTCAAACTTACTGGGTTTTATGAATCATCTGACACTTTAGTTAATAATACAGATGTCCAGGCGGCTCCCTTATAGATCCGGATTATGTGCGCCTAGGAAGCGGCCAGGCAGTCGGGATTTCATGGGTTCGGTGCTACCCAGCCCAACGTGACAATGAGAGATCGCTCTGCCTGCCAGGTGAAGGACCTGACGCTGGCGGGCGGCGGGAACTACCAGGTCAGTCCCAGGACAGCCGGCTCCGGCAAGCTCCCCCACGGCATGGCAAGAGCCCAGTGGAAGTTAGCACAGTAAACCCAATCAACAAGCCGCAGTCACCCTTCTTCCCCAGAAATGGCCTCTTCAGCTTTTGCGGGGGAGACTCTGAAAGTCCCCAAAGGACAGAAGTCTAGGAGGAAATGATTGCCGCACAAAGGGATACAGTCTTGGCTACTAAAAACCCCGCGTAGCCGCCTAGGGACCCGCCCCCCCGCGCAGTGCTTCTACCCCCTCCCTATGCAAACGCGAAGAAAAGAAACGCGAGATCCCAGTGCAGAGGCGTGGTCCCACCCTGGCCAATGGAAAATGAGGGCGTGACTTTAAGCCTTTCTTTCATTGGCCCAGGGTCCCAGACCGTCCAGGTCTTGGTGCGCCGCGGCGGAAATCGCGCGGGTACTGAAACGCACTATCAGCTTCGGGTCCTGGTGCTGCGGCTGCCGCCATCATGGTGCGGAAGCTTAAGTTCCACGAGCAGAAACTGCTGAAGCAGGTGGACTTCCTGAACTGGGAGGTCACCGACCACAACCTGCACGAGCTGCGCGTACTGCGGCGTTACCGGCTGCAGCGGCGTGAGGACTACACGCGCTACAACCAGCTGAGCCGTGCGGTCCGTGAACTGGCGCGGCGCCTGCGCGACCTGCCCGAACGCGACCAGTTCCGCGTGCGCGCTTCGGCCGCGCTGCTGGACAAGCTGTA